ATCTGCCTTGCCTTCCTGTCGCCAGGAGCTGGGTGGGAGGAAGGAGTCTCTGCAAATGGTCTGGCTATAACTCCCAATAAGTTGTGATTGCCGTGGCTGATGTCCGTCTATTTTCTCAGGGCCACCAGCTCATTCCTAGCTAACTGCCTATCCCAAGAGGACTTCACGAAAACAACTAAATCCTTGTCCTTTCTTGGCTTAGTGTACATGCAGGCCATCTGTTTGAAAAATGTACTGCGCCCACAATGACCAAACCATAATTACTAAACTTTCTAGCTAAGAACAGATCTAGAGTTGCTTTCTAGCTATGTCTTCAAATATTCAGTAATTAAACCTTGGAATTATTAAATACCAGAAATGGATTTCCTCCTTCCCTCACTCAACTTTTATAAGAGAAAATGAGCCATTAGCAGAAGTTTCTACAGAAATAACTTCCAGGGAAAGCCTGAGGTCAGCTTGGATTCCATCCAGTCTTCTCACTTTCCATGTGATGGTACAATGATAATTCAAGTTCTTAAGGATGACTCTGATTCATCCTGATCCTGAATCATCAAAGATTAAATTATGTTCACTAAACAGCTAGTACTTTCTAAAGAAAGAAAATAGGCAAATGCATTGTACAAAAAAGTTAGACAAGTCGGGAAAGAAAGCAAGCATCTGGCTTAGCCCTGGACAACCAGAGCATTAAACTTACCAAAACACCACTCCTCCACCCCAAATGTCCATGTTAATAACTGTTATAGAAAAGTACAATATAATTCAAGGCCAGTTTAACTTATTTCTATACCCCAATAACTTTATGGGAGACAACATTATAATTCAGTTCAATAGCTGATTTGGTTTGGCAATAAAAACACAAACAGAACCCTTGCAAAAAAAAAATGTTTATTATCTTTTCTTGCTATAAACCATTGATTTTTAGCCAGAAAACAGCCAAAAGAGAACGACTGTTTGCCTTCTTTAATGTTCAGTGTAGACTGTTGCCCAAAGAATTAAGCATTAGTCATCAAATTAATTGTAAAGACAACAAAATAATTGAAGTTGTTAAATCATCGTCCATTTCAACATTCACAGGCAAATTTGACCCTAGACTATACATGATCTTTCTTCTTGTAAAAATGAACACAGAGTTCCATGGCTTCTCAGCTATGAGTTTTGCTGTCGGAACTCCCCAGCTCACTTCTAACCCCCCACTACTTCGGGTCATACCATCTTCTCCAGAGTCAGGAATCAAAGCCAAGATGCCTTGGTTGAGAACACGTGGTAATTATGAGCCAGAAAGACCAAGTGGAAAGTTCATGAAACCAGTTCCTCTGGCAGCATGCACATCAGTGCAGAAAATTTCTATTTTGTCTAGTTCTACTTAATTTCTACCTGCCAGCCTAAATGAATGAATGATAGCAACTTGATCTCAGTCAGCTTAGGTTCTGCCCACTCTCACCCTGTCTTTTTTTTTTTTTTTTTGAGAGATTTTCGCTATAGGGCGCATGTGCTCGCCAGACAGAGAGAGACATTAGAGACAGAGACAGAAAGCGAGAAATCACCCTCCAGGGGGGATGGTCACGCTGCAATCCCTTCTCCTCCATTCTCCTCTCGGGCTCTTGGGCACGCACGCACACGCGCCTGGCGTGAGTTTGAAGCCACCGGGTCCGGGACGCGATCCGCAGTCGACTACATGGGAGTCCAGCGACATAGCCACTATGCTAACTGCTGGTTCTCCCTCTCACCCTGTCTTTAGGATTGCCCTCAAGTTTCAAAGGACTAACCCAACATTAAGGAGTGAGAGATGGGGTCCTCGTGCTGGCATCTCATCATCTATCTACTCTAGCCTCTGCAACATCTCCATTTCTACTGGCTTCAGTCTTCCATTCACATAGATCTGCCTAAATCCTGGATTCTCCCTGTCGTGACCACCAGAAAGTTCTAGGCTATCTGATTCTCAAGTGTCATGTCCTCTCATGCTTCCACCGAATATTCTGCTTCTCCCTGCTCTGCACTGGGTGTCCGGGAAACAGAATGGAGTCTGTCAGCTTAGATGCTCACAGAGCCACCTCTAGTCCTATGACTCTACACCCTTGTCATGGGATGGTGTTCAGGATTCTCTGAGAGTAGACATTCTAATATGTTCCCCCCCCACTCCAGGAACACAGCTGAGAAGAAAGAGGCAGTGCCCAGGCCCTCTCTGAGTGCCCTCCAATGGTTACTCATGCCAACTTTCCCATCCAACTCAACTTGGGCCATAAACTGCTCATATCATCTAGGGAGACTCAAACTAGATTTTGCGATAGTCTTCCAGATCACTACTTAAGATTAAAACTCAGTTTTAAAGCCCCCCAAAAATATATATGAACCTGTATTTCTCCTAATACTTTAACCCCATGAACTCCACGTAAGACTCTTCTTATCTCTGAAAATTTCAGAGAAGGTTTTTGGTTATAGAACATATTAGGTCATCAGGAAAGTCATGATGCATTTTTCTATGTTTTTTTTTTTAAAGGCTGCAGAAATGTTTATTGAATACAGTGCCAGGTTTATAAATAAAACTTATTTACAATTTCCATAGAGTTGGTCCCCCATCAGAGAGGCGGTTAAATCTCCAAACAGTTTATCCCAAGATTTACAGAAACGTTCAAGTACATCTTTTCAAAATAGCTACGGTGACGAGAGAACTATCACCATCATGATCTTCACTACAGAAGTGTTTATAATTTTAACATTGTAATAGATTTGGAGAAAGAACACACACTCCACCCATGCCACTACCTCCTCACTCCAAGGGATACAGACAGCAAAGAACTTCTGTCTCCTACAGGACAACTTCGAGGGATAAAACAACAGTAACTGCCAGCTGAAGGGATAGATTAAGACACGTTAGTGGAAATCTAGTCACTGTCAAAAAGGATAAATATATTTAGGATATACAATAAATAATTCAAATGTTTCAAATAATTGAATGAAGAGTAGACTTGACCAAATTTACATTCTTTGTTCAGGAATAAGTTCCCAATATGCTGAGGGGCTGCTAGAATGTGCCAGGATTTTCCCAACAATCCAGTACATGGGGAAGATTAATAAGTTACTAGGTCTTTTGTTTTTTTGGTTTTTGTTTTTGAGAGTTTTTTGCTATAGGGCGTGTGTGCTTGCCAGAAAGACAGAGAGAGAGAGACAGAAAGTGAAAAATCACCCCCCAGGGAGGATGACCACACCACAATCCCTTCTCCTCCATTCTCCTCTCGGGATCTTGGGCACGCACGCACACATGCCTGACATGAGTTTAAGGCACCAGGTCTGGGATTTGAACCATAATCGACTACATGGGAATCCAGTGACATAGCCATTACTCCAACTGCTGGTCTCAGTTACTATTTTAAAACTGTACCCCTGAAGATAACTCAAAGCCAAATATCTTAAAGTAAGTCAAGAGGAAAAAATGCCAAATCTGAAAGAAGTGCTCAGAAATAAATATTATAGACCAGATACAGAGTTAAACTTTAAAAGTGAATAGAAGTCATTTAGGATCTATTAATAAGTGGGGAAGGAGGAGAAAAAACTGAGACTTATCCACAGTTGTGGCCAACAGGATAGGAAGACATCTCTACAGGCATGGCATTAGCTGTAGCGCAGGATTCCAAAATAAAGGATAGACATGTTCAAGACTTGAGGCAAAATGGCTGGGCCAAATTTCAGAGTGACTCCTGCCCAAGTACAACTTTTATTTAAATAAATTCTGATCATTAAGTCTATCCATGACTAGCAGCATCATCCAACACAACTTTTAAAGTAATAAAATTAGTCAAATTGCTTTAAAAAACATTACATTATTAATACATGAGGTTTATACTAAAGTTGGTCATAGATGAAAGTGTTTAACCTTATAAAGGAATGCAACTCCTGAAAAATATCTCAGAATCCATGGAATCAAAGCTGGACAGTGCATCCAACACAATGTTTCCTAGCCCAAAGTCAACCGTGGACCAAGAAGCTATCTAGGGTCTTTGTTTGCAAACCCCCAAATACAAAGAATGAGAGAATGAAATGAGAAGAACTTCATATAGATCAGCATCACAGGGCAAGCATTAGACCCATGTGAGAGTGGGTCCTCTCCCGTTCGAGACTAAAATAAAAGACAGACCAACTAGATACACAAATGTAAAAGAAGAGAACATGAGATCACTTAAAGAGACTTTAAGTGAATATTTATGTCATTAGCTAATCAATATATAATATAGAAAAAAAATGAAGATGTTGGACTACATAGAATTTTACACTTCTGCGTAGCATAGCATATAAAAGCATGTAACTATCACAATTTGCAATTGTGTGTTTATTTGGTTGATTGATGACTATCTTACAACTAAGCTGTAAGTTTCATGAGAAGCAAGGATGCCACCATCATGTTCCCATACTTAACCAAGTTCTGACACATACTGGACTCTCAATGACATTGTTGAGTGAATAAATGAGGTCAATTGTGGACCACATAACGGTCTTGGGTGAAGGTTTAACACCCAAGAAGTAAGAGGAGACAAGTCTTTTGCCAATCTAGTAGGGAGTTGGTAGGGAGCCTCCCGCATAATGCAAGAAGACTCTAGAGGCCATCTCACTCAGGAAACAAGAACTGGAACAGTCTGGCCATTAGTCCAAGAAAGCAAAAGTGATGCATTGAGGGAGCAAAATCCATTAACCCACAGGATACCTCCACTTAAATCGAAGACAGTCCTGGAGGACACAGGGCACACATTTGCTAATGAGAACTCAAATTTTATGCCTTGAAGACTTAAAACAGGATGGGAAAAGGAACACTAGGAAACAGTATGAAGGGCGGACACAAAGCTCCGAGGACACACTTCAGCTGTCACAGTTTCGCAGGGACTAGGCCAGCGCAGAGCACTGGCACAGCCCTCCGGGGAGGCCATAAACGTGCGGTCATGTCTCGCAGCACTTTCTCTTTCCTGTACTTCTGGCTTTCTCGGCCTGATGAGATGCCTTGTGTTTTTCAGAACGCGGAAGCAAGCTACGACTTCAGCAGCAACGACCCCTATCCTTACCCTCGGTACACAGACGACTGGTTTAACAGGTAAACCAGGCCCTCGTGCAGGTTCTCTGACTTTAGGCTTTGGAGTTTTGTTTTGTTTTGTTTTGTTTATGACTTGAATCTCACCAACAAGAGTCCCAGTGCTTCAATGAGTTATCTGACGGAACTTCAGAGAGTTGGTGGAAAAGTGGAATGAAATACAAGTTTATGTTGGTACAAAAACATTGAAATCTATGTATCGTTTCCTCATCATACACACTTTCTGTGGGCCTTCTGAATACCCCCCTCAGAGTGTGGTTTTTCTTCTGGCTACATTTACTAACTTCGTGGCTTTTTTTAACTTTACAATACTCCTCTAGAATTCCCTTTTGACTATTTTGTTCTGTTCAGCTAGGAATTATTTGCCACTTTATTAAGGACAAAAGAAAATAGAAGTAAGTCCTTTAGCAACACCCCTCCGTGTGGTGTAAAGCATGCGGGTTTCACTCATCCTGTGGAAACTATTGCCGAGAATGTTCTTGCCCCATAGATCTGTGTTTGTAAGTTTTAAAAGTATTTCTGCTAGGACCTTATTAATAGCTCATCTACTCCCTTCCAACAAAATACAGTGTACTGGTAGATATTTGAAGTACTGCTTAACATTCCGCCGTGTGAAACTCAAATGGGGTGGGGGGCAGCAGATGGTATAGTGGTTAAGGCACTGGACTCCCACATAGCCAACCAAGACTGCAGTCCTGGACCTGGTGACTTGAGCTCACACTGGGTATATGTGCATGTGGGCCCAAATCCTGAGAGGAGAATGGAGGAGAAGGGATTGCAGTGTGAACCTTCCTCTCTGGTGGGTTGATTTCTCTCTTTCTGTCTCTCTGTCTCCCTCTGTCTCTCCAACGAGTGCACACATCTTATAGCAAAAAAATAAATAATTTTTTTTTTAAATACAGGAGGTGGGGTAGGTGGCATGGTGGTTAAGAGCGCTGGACTCCCACATGGCTGACTGCAGTTTGAGTCCTAGACCTGGCAACTTTGCTTTCTTTCTCTCTCTCTCTCTCTCTCTCTCTTTCTCAATCTCTCCATCCCTCTCTGGTCAAATTAAAATAAATAATAAATAAATAATAAAAGTTAAATAAAAGCATTCTAAAAAAAAAATCTACCCAAATGGTCCAACCAAAGGTATGATTTTTCTTCCGCTTGTTTTGTTACTAAACATGTAAATGTGGTCTTTTATTCTTCATTGAGTACCTTGGTTAAAGAGTTAACTGAATATAGGAAATATCAAGAGAGCCAAACCTGTTCCATGGTGATTAAGCCCTGACCATAGGGAGCCAGACTGCACATGGTTGACTGTGGTTTGAATCCCAGACCTAGCAGCTTGAAAAACTTGGCGAGTCTAGGTACACTGCATATCCCAAATCCTGTTAAAATGGCAAATGTACACACCCTTTGGAAATTGTATGTGTGTGTGTGTGTGTGTGTGTGTACGCAGCTTGCTCAATGAACAAATAGTCCTTTCAACCTAGTGCTTCCCTATTATTGATGTGCTTGGGTAAAGTTCACAAAAACGTATGAACTCCAATTGATGGTATAAAAATACATTATGTGTAGAGCAGTTTGTTCATTTCTTTTACTTCCCACAGAAACCTAAGTAGCAGATAAAACGAATGTTGTCACTTTCAGTTTAGCAATAAGGAAACAGACTCAGAAAGATTAAATGATTTTTCTGTTCTAACAGTTAGGGTTCAAGTTAAAGCCAAGAATAGATACATGCTCAGAATTGTTTCTAATCCCAAATTTGTACCAATTTTTATAAAGTATCATTTTTGTTATTTTCTTCAAGAAGCATGCTGTCCAGAGAGTGGCTGGGGAGGAGCTCAGGGGAGCAGACTTAGACTCTGTCCCTACAGTTAGCAAGTTGACCTGAGAATGTCATAGGCAGAGACTACCCAGGGCTTGGCAATTATAGAAAATGCAGAAAAGAATAAAACAAATAAAATTCAAATGTGTAACTTATTTTTTAAGAGAGATATTTTTGCTATAGGGCTTGGGTGATTGCTAGAGAGACAGAAAGCAAACAAAATCACCCCCCCCCCCAGAGGGGATGGCCATACTGCAACCCCTTCTCCTCCATTTTGCTCTTGGGATTTTGGGCAGGCACACACATGCATGCAGTGTGAGGTTTAAGCCACCAGGTCCAGGACTCAAACTGCAGTCAACCAAGTGGGAGTCCAGTGACAAAACAAGTACACCATCTGCTGGTCCCCAAATGTGTAACATTTTAAAAAGATCGTTGCTAATATCCAATAACACAATTCTTTCTCTGGTAACTTCATCTGAGGCATCAAAATTATCATGTGACGTTGAGGCCAACAGGTGGCATGATGGTTAAGACCGCTGCACTCCCACATGGCCGATTGCAGTTTGAGCCCTGGACCTAGCGGCTTGCTTTCTCTCTGTCTCTCTCAGCCTCTCTCTCTCTCTCTCTCTCTCTCTCTCTCTCTCTCTCTGTCCCTCTCTGGTCAAATTTAAAAATAAATAAACAAAATAAA